GTTTCTTTCTTTTATTTTTTTAACATCTTTATTGCAGTATAATTGCTTTACAATGGTGTGTTAGTTTCTGCTTTATAACAAAGTGAATCAGTTATACATATACATATGTTCCCACATCTCTTCCCTCTTGCGTCTCCCTCCCGCCCTCCCTATCCCACCCATCTAGGTGGTCACAAACCACCTAGCTGATCTCCCTGTGCCATGCGGCTGCTTCCCACTAGCTATCCACCCTACGTTCGGTAGTGTATATATGTCCATGCCACTCTCTCACTTTGTCACAGCTTACCCTTCCCCCTCCCCATACCCTCAAGTCCGTTCTCTAGTAGGTCTGTGTCTTTATTCCCATCTTACCCCTAGGTTCTTCACAACCTTTTTTTTTTTCCTTCTTAGATTCCATATATATGTGTTAGCATACAGTATTTGTTATTCACTTTCTGACTGACTTCACTCTGTATGACAGACTAGGTCCATCCACCTCACTACAAATAACTCAATTTTGTTTCTTTTTATGGCTGAGCAACATTCCATTGTATATATGTGCCACAACTTCTTTATCCATTCATCTGTCGATGGACACTTAGGTTGCTTCCATGTCCTGGCTATTGTACATAGTGCTGCAATGAACATGGTAGTACATGTCTCTGTGAATTATGGTTTTCTCAGAGTATATGCTCAGTAGTGGGAATGCTGGGTCATATGGTAGTTTTATTTTTAGTTTTTTAAGGAACCTCCATACTGTTCTCCATAGTGGCTGTATCAATTTACGTTCCCACCAACAGTGCAAGAGTGTGGAGGGATTTGTCTTTAATGGATGACAGGTTAATGTGTCATCAGCATCTGCAGTTGTGGTAGGGCTGCTAAAAGGAATAACAAATGTTTTGTGTTTCACTTTCTACTTTACTGATACATTAACGTGTCTGTTAAACAGGGTTTTTTGTTTCAGTCTTGTAAAGCCAGAAGAACCTTCTGGAGGATTCTGCTGTGTGACGCTCAGCTTCTTCCCAAGAACTTTTCAGCTCATGAATTTTCTTAGATTTTCGGTGCACCTTTGTCTTTGAGTTTTCCAGGAAGAAGATAGAGTTCTCTAGCAAGAAAATCTGTACAGTGTAGTCACTAACCCAAAAAACTGACAGCAATCCTATGTATCTAGAAAGATTGATCAATGTATGTGCCTGGATCCCAAATCATGAACTGATGGACTGACAGAATCCCCTCGCCACATTAGAACTTGCTCTTTGTATCCTAATACCATCTGTCTGTATTACACTCTTCCCTTGTTTTATACCCAAGGCTGCTAAGGCACAGAAAGCCGCACAGCAAGTTACTCAAGGAGTAAAACAAGGACATCTGGCCCATTACCATCTACTTAATCCAACATATATAAAATTACTCATTAGCATTAAATGCACCAAGCTACTCTCTCCTGTCTTTACTTAACATTACTATTTCTGGTCCAGCGGTCTATTTTTGTGCTTGTTTGGCCACCTGAGAAATTTGTTTGGTTGTGAGCAAAAAGGACGTTTTTGAGCACCCCGTGCTGTGGGTCCACATTATCCTTGGCCGCTCTTCAGATTCTGGCTCATTCCTGTTCCCATTTCAAATCCTCTCTTTTACTGGTGACCAAGATGTAACACTGTGCCTACTTTTGTTCTCGTCTGAAAAATAAGTCAATAGAAAGAGTGATTCTTTCAGTGTGTGACTGTGTGTGTGTGTGTGTGTGTGTGTGTTGCAGGACTTCAGAGAAAGGGAACTGCAGTGTTTCTGAACCATTTCCATTTCTAAAGCTCTCTCCCACCCCCAGCATCTTCAGGCTTTTATGTGCTCTTTGCAAATCATCATTTTTTGATGACCAAGGATCCCTTCAGAATTGGTGTAGTGCGGTGGGTAGCAAACCAAAAACTGGAAAAAAATTCAAGCAATAGACACACATCTAAGAAAATAAACCTATGGATCCTGGGAGAATAGCAGCCTGAGATAATCCCTTCCACCCTGGGCTTTCCCATGCAAGATTTTGCCCGTTGTCCTAACAGGCCTTAGGAAACTTGGGATGACTACTTACCTGGTCACCCACCTGCTGTGTGATCTTGAAGAAGCTACTTATTATCTCTAAGTTTCCATTCTCTCATCTGTAAAATGGAGAAAATATCTCCCTTGTAAAACTGTGAGGAACGAAGCTCTGTAAAATCCATGGCGTTGAATACAGCGCATAGCACATATACACATTTTTAAATGAGACCTACAGTAACAGTGGTAAGAAGTCTCATGTTTGTTAGCTGTCTAGGGAAGAATGCTCATTCTTCTGTGGAAAGGGTTTGTAAATACATATACTTTATTCGTGCTCTCACCTATTCCTCTCATATTTCTTTCTCCCTCTTTTAGCTCTTTTTAAATTGCCCAGGCGCCTGTGTTTATGGAGTCCCTTCTCCTGGAAAACCATACAGAAAGTTATCAGATAAAACAAATTTTTGCTTATTCTTCTGGGGCACAGAGCTATGGGAGATAGATATCCTTAATATGGAAAAATGAACTGCTATTGAAAATCAGTGGACAGGATTTGGGGAAGGTAAAATCCTCCCCCAGGCCCTTTAGTTTGCAAAGATGGGTAACCAGCTCCTCGGCTAAGAATAGTTTCTGAGCACCGCTCACCACCTGCCCCCTGCCTGTCTCCACAGACACCACCCCATCGCCCTGTCTTCTTCCTTTTACTCTACAGCCCTGGCACACACTAGGCTCTCTCATTTTATGCCTTTGCATATGCTGGCCCCTCTGCCTGGAATGCCCGACCCTCATCCCGATAATTCCTAGATGTCCTTGAAGATTCAGCTTAGATAACTTCTATGAACTTTCCATGGCATTGTCCCCAAGGCAACCTCGCTGTTAGACTCTGGGAGCAGATGGAACGTGGGACTCACATTGCAGTTTAAGAGAATGGTCCCTTTAGAGCAGCACTCTGCACAGTCTGCAGGACCATCCCTAGTTCTCCCATGCCCTGTCCACCAGCCCACCTCTCCTATGTACTCCATTAGCCTTATGATGAAAATGTTTATCCCACTGTTTTAATCATTCACTTGACGTCTTTCCTCCTAGACTGTGAGTTCCTTGAGGAGGCGTATGGGTTCTATTTCTGTTTTTCCAATACGTTGCAGCACGCCATCAACCCACGATTGATAGCCTGGTTAGTGGCTCCAGAAGAGAACTTGGTAGAAGCCTCTTCCAGGTGATGCTTTTGGGGAGCCCCTTCACAGTTCAGTGATGGGTGGCTCACAGTTTAGTAGGAAAGTGTGAAAGGTGACAAGGGCTATATGATGATAAAGGTAGGCTCATAAGAATCAGATCCTAGGCTAGGACAATGGTGGAGAAAGTTTGGTTTCTAGTACCATCTTGAGACTCACTCACGTCCCTTTGGCATTCAAATTGAGTCGATGTCTGTGTATCCCAAGGCGAGAAACCCTTTTCTAAACTCTCTGTTGCTGATTTCTCACACTTCCTTTGGCTTACTGCTTAAAGTTTCAAAGCTTGCTGCACATCACATCCTTTTTATCTTTAGAGCAGAAATTCCCTCCAGAAGACCAAGGATACTGGAGCCTATATTTAGAGAGTACTTAATATGGGTCGGATGAAGGCCTGACTATGCCTAGAGTCATGCTGCTTGAAGCCATTCTAATATTCATTTAGTTAGAATCATAACTGCGCTGAGTCATTGCTGGTCTCATATGGATCATATATTCACAGTCAGTGCTTGGCTTAGACAAGAAGATGTGTATTACCTCTGCTGTTGCCCATCATGTCTTTTCATTCGTTATGACTATTGTGCTTGGAAACATGATTTTCAATCTGTAATCCCAGTTAAATTCTTTCAACACAGTGTATACATTTAAGTGCATAGTTTTCTTTGAAGCAGACTTTGGTGAAACTGATATCCATTATCTGCTATCTCTGTCTTCCAAGACACATTTTGCACATTTTGATCTAACTAAGAAGGAAGAGATAATTTTTTGCATGAATGGTTGTCGTAACCTGGCGTATATTTTTGACTGACACGATAGCTGCAGAAGTTCTAGAAAGGATTACGGTTCTGAAGGACAACTTTTTAATTTGAACATCAGTTAAAGTGCTCTGTCACATCTCCATTGAATTTGTGGCCCCCAACCTCAATGGTCTCCCTTATTATACTCCTGCCATGTTTACAGGCAAGTGTATCTAAGTAAAAAGAATTAAAAGAGGACAGTATAATTTCACCAAAGGAACATAAGGGTGAATTGCTGAAAACCACAAAAAAGCGATACCATTTAGATCAGCTCCAAAATGAATGCTGCCCACTCTCTGAAGGACTGTAGGGCCATGGTCTCCATGCATTAGGGGTAAGGATATTGTCCATACGAAGCGTCACAGAAAACTGAGAATGAGGAGCTAACATTTGTGAGAGCCAAAATAAGGGAAAAAGTGAGAAAAGTTGGGAATTACTTCTAAGTCAAAGCCAAGGAAGACAATTTCAGCAAAGATTTTCCAGTGGTGATCGACACATTTTCAAGAACGGGGCTAGAGAAAACAAGGAGATGTTGAGAACTGATTACTTCATCAGAATCAAGCAAACCAAAACTTAGACTTGAGAAAAATGGAAGATATGAGGCCATGTGTGACATTTTCCTGGTTGAAAAAAGACTTTAGCATCAGAAAGTATTGATATTTAACTGCAAAGAAGGCCTCTTGTGAAGAGGGGGAGTCTTTTTTAAAATTACGAATATTCAGTTTCCTTCATGTTCATCTATAGTTTATAATGTATTTGCTAATACCATGGAGCTATGAATATCCATAAACAACTCCTATCAAGGGAAGAAAGGTAGAATGCTCGTGTCAGGGAGTTGTCAATACTGATGGAAATGAATGCCTGTGTTTATTTTAATCAGCATGGGTAATCCTTATACCCTTATTATGTTTATTTGAGGATGTGAAATGACTAAATAAATCTGAATGACAACTGTACTTTGATTTTGCAGAGTTAAGAGGAAGATTTATGAGACATGGACCCTTGTATCAGATTTGGAGAAAAGTAGAGTGAATACAAGACGGCCACTGGGACCCATGGACAGTCCTGCACTCACGCTTCTCTGTCGAACTTTAAGATTTACTAGTAATATGCTACCTTTGCCAAATGAAAAGAAACTAATGCCAAGAAGGCATACTCTTCAATATTGGGAATAGACGTGCTCTCAAGACAATGGCTTCAAAGGTCTCCTGTTTATACGTTTTGACAGTCGTGTGCTGGGCCAGCGCTCTCTGGTACTTGAGTGTAACTCGTCCTACTTCTTCCTACACTGGCTCCAAGCCATTCAGCCATCTAACAGTTGCCAGGAAAAACTTCACCTTTGGCAACATAAGAACTCGACCTATAAACCCCCATTCTTTTGAATTTCTTATAAATGAGCCCAACAAATGTGAGAAAAACATTCCTTTCCTCGTTATCCTCATCAGCACCACCCATAAAGAATTCGATGCCCGGCAGGCGATCCGAGAGACCTGGGGGGATGAGAACAACTTTAAAGGGATCAAGATAGCCACTCTCTTCCTCCTGGGCAAGAACGCTGATCCCGTTCTCAATCAGATGGTGGAGCAAGAAAGCCAAATCTTCCACGACATTATCGTGGAGGACTTCATTGATTCCTACCATAACCTTACCCTCAAAACCTTAATGGGGATGAGATGGGTGGCCACTTTTTGTTCAAAAGCCAAGTATGTCATGAAAACAGACAGCGACATTTTTGTCAACATGGACAACCTGATTTATAAACTACTAAAACCCTCCACCAAGCCAAGAAGAAGGTATTTTACTGGCTATGTCATCAATGGAGGGCCAATCCGAGACGTCCGCAGTAAGTGGTATATGCCCAGGGATTTGTACCCTGACAGTAACTACCCACCCTTCTGCTCGGGGACTGGCTATATCTTTTCAGCTGATGTGGCTGAACTCATTTACAAGACCTCACTCCACACCAGGCTGCTTCACCTGGAAGATGTATATGTGGGACTGTGTCTTCGAAAGCTGGGCATCCATCCTTTCCAGAACAGTGGCTTCAATCACTGGAAAATGGCCTACAGTTTGTGTAGGTATCGCCGAGTTATCACCGTGCACCAGATCTCCCCAGAAGAAATGCACAGAATCTGGAATGACATGTCAAGCAAGAAACATCTCAGATGTTAGGATTTTTACCGATGTAAATACGTTTCTTTTCTTTTTTAAGAAATGAGGCCTAGGGTGTAGGTATCTTACAGGTGTCACCAGAGGAAATGAACTGGTGAAGGGGTTTTGTAAAAAGTGGTTTTCTTCCCACTCCTAGTTCCTTTCTTGGATTGCCAATTTACGCGTGTTAAGCTCTGCTCATAGAAATAATACATGAGTTAAAAGCACCAGATTTCATTCTCAGGTCCTGAAGTATTGCATTTATCTCAAAAAGCAACTTCCTAACAACTGCTAGGATTTACATACTGTGCATCTGAGATAAAAATCTGGTTCTGGGAAACTAGAACTCATGGTAATGTCTTCATATCCTCTCTGCAAAAGTAAATAAGTCAATAACAATTTTTCAAAAACAATTCAGAAATAATGCACAGTCAGGGAGACACACTGGATGTGATTATTAATATTGTGTGTGCTGTTACATTGAATTTTTACATATATTGCCATATAATGTGTACAGTATTTGCAGTTCCACCAAGAAATGAACTTAGTACTGGCAGGGAGGCTGCAGTTAAGTAAATGGGAATTTAAACTTGAGAATTAAATATTCTGTGTGTTTGGAAGACAACTCTGCTTGCTCATCCAAGGATTAAACCTGGTCAGCGGGTAGAATGTATATAAAATGCTACGTAACAAAATAAACAGGAGAATTTTTTTTTCCTGCTCTTTCAGAACCAACATTACCTGGTGCCTCCAAGGAGATTTTGCCAAATGTAATCTCACCTGCTTCCCTCCATAAAATGTCACTAAATACATTTCATACTTTCTGGCTCAGGCAGATACATGTATAGAAATAAGTTGGTAGGAGGCCAGAAGGACAATATATCACATGGAGAAAAATATAAATTTATGTGTGCATTATAGTTAACAAAAGCTTGGCACTAGTGTCAGATGCCCCTTCCATACCTTTGCAAAGCACATGAGAAACTATTTGAACAGGGAGCAATGTTACTGAAGGATTTAGCCCTGCTGTTGATAGATGTAATCTCTCTCACATCTGAAACATACAAGTACCTCTAACAGCAATGCTGTTTGGGGGTGTTCTGCAAGCGCTGTTATTGAGGTTTATAGGAAGGAAGGGTGGGGAAGCTTGGGTTCAGGTTCTCTTGCTGCCATCGTGTGGGTCACTTAAGCAGGCATCCTCACTCTGCTCTGCTTCAGTATATGCTCATTTATAAAACGGCTGGAAAAAACACCTACCTCGCAGGTGCTGTGAGAGAAAATCACATTCGCTAAGTATTTTGGGATCCTTAGTTTAAAAGGTGCTACATAATGCAATGTATCATGCATTATGCTAAATGCTAAAATAATTACATAATTACAATGATGGTCATCACTAGTAGTAACATCATCTTAACATAATATCTGCCAAAATACAGATCAGATATGAACTATTCGTGCACCTGATTCTTCTAAGATTTTGACTTTTCCTTCAATATGTTAGGTGTTTGGAGAAGTTTCAATTTCTCTGTCATTTCTTCAGGTTTCAGTGAATAAGTTATTACTTCAGTGAATTGCCTTGATATCCCAGGCTGCTGAAAGGGAAGGCAGCTGCCTTTCTTTGGGGAGGAGCCTCTGGCTGGGGGTATATTACAGTCATTGAAGCACATGCTTTGCAAAATGTATCACATCAACTTAGATCTCAGGAAACATTTGATCTGAATTCTCAGTAAGAACTTTGAGGCCTGGTAGAGCTAGTCCACCTCTGGCAGAAGAAGAATAGACACTCAGCAAACCCACGCATTGCACACGTCTGCCATTCATTAGAAAACTTCTGTTTGTTGTCACTCAAAGAAAGCTCCCCAACTAAAAGAGTGTACCTTTTTTTTTTTTTTAACCTGACCTTTGCAAGCCCCCTAGGAGTTGATAGCAAACAAGTAGATGAAATGCACAAATGGAAGTCATGGCTTATATCTAGAAAACACCGGATCTCTTATCTCCAGCCCAAGAGAACCCAATAGGAGATAGGCCTTTCCTTCCCTTAATACATCGTCATCTCAAGTCAGCAGGACTGCTGAGTTAAATTAGAAAATAGCATTAGGTATCCTGGAGAAAGATGGATCAGCATAAGGCGAGCCACCCTCCAACCCCCAACTCTCAACTGCTGTGCATTCCAATCGCTGGAAAAGTCTCATGACTTTGAACTTGGTTTGCCTGTCAATCGTGTAGTCGAATCAAGGCTCAGTGTCATACCAACATCTTGCGTTTACCTTATGCTCAGTCGAGCCACTTTCGGTGTCAAGGAATTGCACAGTATAAACATCATATGTGTACATCTGCGAGTCGTTTTATATGTCTGCGTGTGAGTAAATTATGAATAGAGCCCTCATCTTTAAAAGGGGCAAAAATCAGAGAATCATGTCTTACAGAACTATTTCCTAACTTTTTTATGCTAGATAGTACCCATGTGACAAACATATAAATATTCATCAAAGACCATATGTATATATTTTAAAGGCATTTTTTTCTCTTCTCCCCAGCTGTACGTATTGCTAGAATTGGCTTGCTATGTACATTTTCTTCTGCATGGAGCTTGGTGAGGCAAGGCCACTTGTCCGGTGTTTCAATAGCCTAAAGCATGTTTGCCCTTCGTTTTTTGAATGTTCCAAAAATGTTTAAGTCAAGTGATGAGGAAAAAGCTCTAATTTTCTACTTTTGTTAATTTTATGACACTGGCCAAATAGTGATTTGTTAAGCCATTTTTTAATTTATTATCATTTCTTTGACATAAAATAGTGTTTCAGATAGCATTTTACCAGGAGTCATTCAGACAATTTTTACAAAAACCTGCCGACTGTCCCTCCGCCTGTTTTGTTCATTATGCATTGGATAACAAAAGGTATCAATACTTCGTGTCTGTACTCTTAAATTTTCATTTAAAGTTTTATTTGGGGGGGGGAAAGCTTTTTATCTTTGGTGACTAGTTTGCGTGGCTTTGTGTCTCTTGTATTGGGGCAAATGCCAGTTTCAATATATATTACTGTATTTTTATTGTATTTTTAAATAACCAGAATAAAATAATGAAGGTCATTTTCAATTTGGAATAAATTCAGAAGAACAAAACCCCTTTGTGTGATATGATATGGGGAAAAGAAACTCTTTACGGAGAAGCTAAGGAAGGAGTTTTTTCAATCAAAGCTCTTCTATCAAAAGACAATGGAATATTTACATAAAGCATCTGGGATTCATTTTCTACCTTTCCTAATATGTGGGTTTAGGGGGGGGATTGATTATGTCATTTCTTCTGTAAGGGTGAAGATAGTTTTTATAAGCAACAGAGTAACTTGTGAATGAAAGAAGTAATTTACTAGAAACGCTTGTTGATGATAATTGAAATTTAGGCATACTGTTATATATGAATGATTGTATTTATGTATTTATTTGTCAAAATTGTACATACTATTTCACCAACCGTAATTGTCTGTAAAAGTGCACTCTCCAGGTTTGTAGTACTACTTAGGGTTACATGGGTTGCCAATCAAGCTGCTAATCAGAATACTATTTTTTGTATCAATGTTATAAAACTGAAAAATGACAAATAGATGCTGAAAATGTCTTTACATTCAGTTTCTTCACCTTCCTCATGAAATGTAAACTGTTGATTGAAAGCACGATGCTAATGTATAAGCCCATCTGTCATGAGGAAGATTATGGTTCCCTAAAGCTGATTTTTTAAACCACTGGGACAAATAAAGAGAAGGAGAACGTATTTTCCACTTGGCTCTTTTCTGAAAGGATCTCTTTGGTGAGATGTGATTACTGAAATTAGCTGATGCTCTGTCATATTATTAACCTTCCCCATAACCTCAGTATAGGTGACAGTTCAAACCATTTGGAGCTCATCCGCAAGAGCCCAGGGCAACTTAACAGTCAACTCAGAGATGACTTGGTTTAGTAGACTATGGGCTACTCCAGGATTTAGGAAACTATTATCTCCCTTGCCCTTTGGCGGCCTTATGAAAGTCTCTGTGTTAAATTTTATGGGTTGAACATGCCAAGAAATTCCAATCCAGAGAGCATTATACTGATAATGTATGGTGAACTAAGATATGTCAAATCTAAGGCAAAAGTGTCATTCTTATGTTTCACCCACATGTATCCTTTGGAATACTGCATACTCTTTTAAAAGTTTGATGGGACTGGAAAAGTGCTTTTCAGGCATTCTTTACAGCTGACAAGTAGATGCTGATTGCTGATGCCTCACGTTGCAAGCAAGAGACTAATAGCTCTTTAAGAGACAAAAGTTCCTTTTATTATCAATCTGATCTAGCTAAATAGGTCTTCACTTTTTAATGGATATTAAACTTTGGATCTACTAACCCTGTACCTCGGAGTTCAAAAGGTGAAGTCCATCAGGTAAGCTGAAACGTGAGTAGAACGATGAAAACATGAAATAGATTTGTATTCAATGTGACTTTTTAAAAGGACCAACATCAAAAGTGTTCTAAAGTGTTCTAAAGTGTTCTAAAAGTATGGTCTCAGACGGGGAACATCAGTGTCAAGTGGGAATTTGTTAGAAATGCAAATTCTTAGGCTCCACCAGAAACTTGGGGGTGTGGCTCAGCATTGTATTTTAACAAGCCCTTTAGGTGATTTTCTTGCCCCTTAAAGTTGAGAACACTGATCAAGAGCAGGGGTTGGCAAACCACACTCTGTGAACCACATCTGTCTAAGAATGGATTCACAATGAACATTTGCAATGACTCAAAGATACGAGACACTAACGTTGAATTCCGACTAAGCAAAAAATTATCCCAACAGAAAGAATTCTGCTTTTCTCATTAGTAGATGTGTATTGCAAAAAAGAAAAAATTGTACTTAATTATTATTTTATTATATTTTGAACCCATCAATACAGAAACTGCCAACATTTGTACTTTCCTATATCTTCAACTTTGCCTGTTGGCCTGCAAAGCTTAAAATATTTATTATCTGGTCCTTTACAGGAAAAGTTTGCCAACCGCTGATTTAGAGAAACAGGAAAACATCTGAAGAAGCTGCTACATATGAAATTCCTCCACTTGTCAATGAAAAGTCACATCAATAAAGCATCCTGGAATTGTCTCCATGCAACCAGGGAGATGACAATAGAGTTATGATAATGAATTGCATTAAAAACTGACAGCTGCATATATTTTTAAAATATTTCATTTGTCTCTCTCATAGTGATTTTTTAAAATGATAAAAGCTTGATTCTAATTGTAACAATTACCCAAAGCTTAATTAATATATTGCTTAAAGATGTGTGGGTAGTAGACCTAAGAGGGTGGGTTTCATATATAGTTCAATTATCATAATTACAAGCATTCTCTTTTCTCATTTACTTAATTGATTGTTATAGCTTTCCAGATGAATTCATGCTGCTGAAAGAGAATTGAATACATTGCTGAGAGGAAAAAAAACAGAAATGGGGCTGTTTAGAAAAGCAAGGTGTCCCAGAATATAATCCACGTGAGCATATGAAAAATCGCCCTCGATAATATTTCACAAGAGGCATTTTTGTGAAATGAAAAAGAAATGAATGAGCAAGTATTATTGATTCAACTGCATCTACAATAACACAGGCTCCACCGACTCTTCAGCCAGAGGTGCCTAGCACTCAAGAAGAATTTTCCATTAGTTTTCCTTATAGAATCTGTTAGTTTGGTACATTGTGTCAAATATTTGTTATGCCTTTTGCAATGACCTCAGTCCTCACCTGGAGGGAGCGTGGCATGAGAGGTGATTTATTCTCTGAGGTTTATTCCAGAGCACTTCCTCAGCAGTGGCTGCC